GTTAATGGAGTCGTCATTACGGCCGCCACATTCGAGCGAGCGAGCTAATTATCGCGGACACAAAATTCGTGCGAAATCCGCCGTTCGTTAGCAACGGCTATTGCCAATTTAATGCGGGTCAGTAGTCTGTGTGTTACAACGAATAATATTAATTAGTGATGCATTCGCGCGTAACGCACTTCGCTCCGAATAACAACCGAATTCTGACGATTCCGATCGCTCCCCATCGAAGAAAAGTTCAAAATTCGAACTTTTATTTCACGATTGAGGCAAACTACTCAATATTTTATCCATACCTTTTATACTTTTATTATTTTATAACACACAGTCGATAACATATTATATTTTTCCCATAGGGTTTAAAATTCTGTATGATTTATTCACATCGTTATTATTTTCTCTCGAATTTCGGCGAACAATTCTCGCGTTTATTAAATAATTTTCACCCTGTATACAATACGCATACAACCTTATGCAACTACGCAATATGTTTTTATCGCGTGCACGAAACGCAAGCCAAATGCAAGTCATGGCTTTCGCCACCCGATTCATTTTTGCGAGATGAGAGAACCGCTGGTAAGGTCTCCGTTGCCAAAATATTCACTTTTAAGCACTATGCGTTTAGGATTATTAATGGCATCATTGTCATTGAGAAAAGAGGACAGAGAGAAGGAGGAGGGAGGGAGGAAGAAAGAGAGCGTTTATTATCATTCCAGGACAAGTCCTCTAAGAACACAAAAATAAAGGAAAAGCGCAAAAGCAATATACAAATAACGAAAGAGAGAGAAAGGAGGGAAGAGAGTAGGAAAGCAGTTGCGAGTTTAGTCCTCATCTCTCTTCGATCGATGTACCGATTAATAGCACGTTAAATTACGGAGAGAATCTATCGAGGTCCGAATGCATTCTGCAATGCAATCTGTCGGCAACGCGTCGCTCGAATTCATGTCGACATGGAAGTTCTGCAATTAAAGCGGAGGAATGCCATCGAACGATTGGAGCCGCTCGATGGAGACGAATTGTTTCGATTTAATAGGAGGATCGCGATATTGTCGACGCATCATAATCGCAAGCTAATTTGAATATTTATGTCTGATGGTTGTTCCATTTCTCCTTGTAAAACATTTTTTATCATTTAAGCTGACATTATAATAGACTCTTTGGCATTACTGATCGTTTATCGAAAATTCCGTTATGATTCAGTCTATTAATAGATCGTTTATTAATAATTTATTGACAATTTAATTTCTTTTATAACTACACTATTAATTTCATGATGTTGAATTATATTCATTTTGAATTATTTTTAATCTTTTCTATAGGTCGCTGTTGTCTAATCAATATATAGTTAATTAAAAACTAAAACAATTAATTAAATAATTTAACTCAAGAATATATATTAAATTTAATTTAAATTTAATTTATTATTTATTAAGTGCATACGTTATTTACATTAAAATTACAAAAATGCAAAAATTAAATTATATTTTGACGCACATAGAAGTTAAAAATAACAAAATGTTATTTAACTCGAGAGATTGGGTTACCATCATTTTTTTTCTAACAGAATACATTGTTAAATTCATAACGTCTAATTATACCTAATTTGGTTTTATTTTTAATTTATCCTAATTTGGAACTATTTTTAATCATTTCTCACTTTAAAATCTTTGAAGTGAAATTTAATGCTAAAGAATGACAATTGAACCAGCATTGAAAAAAAGTGGCTCAATTGTCAATTTTTAAGAGTGAGATTTCACTCTTTAGAGTTAGATTTCACTCCAAAGATTTTAGAGTGTTATAAGCTGTCACTGCTCCTACTCAATACGTCATTAATTTAAGTAAAACAACGGAATTAAATAATTTAACTTAAGAAAATTAAATTTGACTTAAAAATTTATTATTTATTAAGAACACACGTTAATATAGATGTTGTTTACTTTGAAACTAACCACAGAAATGGATTAATTATATATTTTGACAGGCATGTAAAAGTTGAAAATAACCAAATGTTATTTTTAACTCAAGGGATTGAATTACCATTGCTCTTTTGATACCTTTTTACATACAATGTATATAAAAGACAATTTCCTGATATTAGACAATTCTGACATTATATACTCGTATTTACATAAGCACGTTTTAAAAATATTTATTTCGAAATATATATATTTATATAGTTTATATCTAAAGGTTACGAAATGGTATCAGCGTTATTATACGGTGAATTACCTTTAGCTAACGTCTATGTCTTCGTTTTTGTTTCAGTGCGTATTGTACCTGTGGGCGCTGAAATTGTGCCATCCAACCACACTGTTCCTCCTCAGAGGTAACCACGAGTGCCGTCATCTTACGGAATACTTCACATTTAAGCAGGAATAAACCCCCTTCGAGAGAAAGTAATCTTTTCTCTTGTATTCATATTTATAATTTTAAAAAATATATCATAAACGAGCAGTTTTACAATCTACGGAGACTGCAAGTCTTTTTCTTATTCCTTAAAAAATTTGCAAGGAAGAAAGCCCGTCCATTCTTTCTCTCCCCGATCTCGAAATATTCATTTCCCCGCATCGTTGAATCTTTTATATCGCTCTGTGTTGCACGCTTTTTTCGCTTTTGTTTCGCGTCGTAATAAGAAATTATTTCCTGTTTAATAATTTGCGACTCAGATTAAGTCTTCCGCCACGTTAGTTACGACGGGGTGTTGCCTCGTAAGGTGAATTAGCTCTGCGCGGCGGCGAAATTTATGCAGCTCATCTACCTACCTACATCGCGAGCTTCAGCGCCTGACATACACGCGTGTGTCGTAATTATGGTCTAAGTAACAAAACGTAGCTTTCGAGAAAGAATCGAAAGCTGAATAAAAATTGTAAGCGTTAATTTATGCAAATTTCCTAGAATAAATGAACATATATTTACGACGAGAAGGAAATATGATGTTAATTATAAAGATAACTAGTTTACAAAAAATATTTTTTTTAATTACTTTGAACCAGATAGTGTTTCTTACAGATTTATTTGAAGGGTAAAAACGCAAGTCAAATCGTATCTTGAAATTTTGATCAGAAGTCACGAATGTATTGCATTTTTTTATTTCAACATCTTACTTTTTAGTGCTGTCATGTTATGAATAATTTAAATACATAGTCTTTCTAAGAAAAATCTATAAAAAATAATTTCTTTAGTTCTCAAAAAGTATTATTTTGCTGTAAACTTGTGTAATATCGATTTTTTTATACAAAAAATATTAATATCGTATTATTTATTAATTACCTAAATAAACTATCCTCATGCATAAATATTGGAATCTAATTTTAAATGCAGAAATAAACATATTGTTTTGTAGAATATTATGTAAGCATAATATTGGGAATATATTTAACCTAATTAACAGAATTCGTAATGGAGCTAATTTATATTATCTTTATATTTGTTTTCATGGCATCGCATCGTGTTGAGTGTATAAATATTATACCATCGCATGATAATATAATTTTAAACGATTCATATTTCACAGTTTTATTACAATTTATATATTCATATACTTATTTTTTTCGTTCTACATACTAAAGAATTGTCCCGTTTAGATAAAATAAAAGTAGAAAATTATGTTATGAAAATTCTCTGGAATTAATAAAAAAGATATGTGTTATATATACATATATACTTATGCTGTGCCATGTTGCAGTAAAAAGCTGCAATAACGAGACTCGATCGTAGCGATAACTCGTATTGCGTGTGCAATATCGACCTTGTGACCTGCGTGTGTCCCCATAGTCCTTCGATCACGTGTACCTCACGTACACGGATAAGTTACGAGATCGTAAACCGCCGGACATCGCAGCACGTTACATTCGCCGAACGGCCGAAGCATTTAGGGAACACTCGCGATTCTCGTTCTCTTGTTGTTTCGCCTAAGTTCGAGCTTGTTCGCAACCAACGAGCTTCGGGATTACATTAATCGCGTGAGTTTACGGTACATTACGTGGGCTCTGCCCTAGTGCAATTTATACGCACAGATACCAGAAGAGATCCAGATTTGCGGCGTGTTTAACGTCGGACGCAGCTGCTCATCTCGCATCCTCTCGTTCATATAATGCACGTTTGTACATGCCGGCAAATGAAAGCTCGACGTGCGAAAAAATCGAACGATCGCCCTTGATCAGAACGCATCTCCGGCGATTCTCCGCGTTCGATGCGCGCTTTCCGCAGTGAGCCGGTACTTGCCTGCATCATCATATGGAGGAAATCGCGCCGCATATTACGACTCGTTCCCGTCCTGTCACATCGTAAATGTTATAACGACGCGACTGGGGAAACCGAGACGGAGAGCGGGGGCGCCTCGCAAATACTCGTAGGTTGACCTAGTATCGGACAATTTTCCGCGATCGATACACTTTTCCGCGAGACGCCGCCTGCTTCTGCTGCGCGAGTGTCCGAGCTATGCTATGCATCGCGAGGGATGCGTCTTTCCGGCGACAGATCCGAAGGGACAATATTTTTCGAAGCTAATTATTTTAAATAATTTTCGAAGGTTAAAACGTCCCTACTTCGGTTAGTGTACTGAAAAATGTCTGGTAATAATAATCAAGTTGTTAGATGATTACTAATAGCGTTTTCAACTGCAGTAGATTTGAACCGATCTGGATTGGATTAATGACGTACTATTGGTAGAGCATGTAACATCATTAATCCAACCCAGGTCGGTTTGAATCCACTGCAGTCGAAAACGCTATAAAGCTTTGGCTTTGATGAAATAATTTGAATTCAATATTCGGTTAATGTAATCAATTAAACATCAATCAAAAGCTAATTTTATATTCCTAAATATTAATTCAGCGCTGCCATCCAGTCACTTAAGTTACTGTTTCTCACCTTTTTTGATAAATTACTAAAAGTCACTGTTGTCTAATATGAGTTACTAAGACCTTTTTTTCTGTGCTGATGAGATTCGTAAAACATAAGCGTTCCATTCATACTTTTGTCGTCTCATCTGCTAACAATTGCTATTCGCTCACTGTTGCGCTAATTGGGTACTGGTCCAGTATTAAGTATATCATTTTTAAATTTCAAACAAATGTAAAACTAAAAGGCGATGTGATTTTCGAAGATTACAAATATTTTTCGCGTATTTAAAAAAATACATTTTTGTTTCTTTATATTGCATTTTTAAAAATGTTTATTTTTTTATCATCTGATGAATGTGTTTATTTTTTTGTTTTGTTTAGATAATAATACATTGCTATACGCTATCCAAAGATAAACCAGTGAAAAAAAATAACAATAGATACTTTTTTTGTCTAAACGTAATTAATTACTATGGAGATTTGATTTTTGTTCTTGTATTTTACAAACTTTTTCCATCAAAAAGAGTTGTCACATTTTTGGTGCGATAATCGGAAAACACTTATTTTTTCTAATTATTACTAAATAGTTAATTACTATTATTATATTAGGTAACATTTAAATATCTCACCAATACGCTAAACAAAATACATTTGGTAGATATATTATCAGATTTCTGTCAGTACAGTCTGATTAATTTATCAGCAATTTATTTCAGAAAGGACGTCAATTCATTTATTCTTAAAACTTAAGAGTAAGAAATAATATATTATTTACGACTTACTTATATTTCCCAAGTAAATCCGCCCGGTGCCCTAATGATACTTTGATTATACGAACGTAAATTGGATATAAATTCGTATAGCGCTCTTAACTGCCTCTAAAAATGTTTTATGTATTATTAAACGTTTTATGCTGCCTTATTGTATCTCGTCGGTCTCGCATGATGTTACATCTCTCCCGTCGTCTTTTATATTCCACCCTCACAGCTCTATTATTATTATTGCAAACGTAAAAAAGCTATCTTGTAAACTTCAAGAAGGAACAACACGGACTCGAATGTTTCACATCTTCGCTCGGGGTCCATTCTCGTGCCTGGGGCCTCGTTTTGAAGAACAGTTCTAATTTCCTCTTATATACGTATACATTCAGAACCGGCGTAATGCCATTTCCGCCTACGATATTAAGCGGAGTGCGAGTCACTCGACGAGGGGGTGTTCACCCCCACACAAAAATTCGCTCGTTCGCGCACGCACCGTGACCCCGATTCCACGCGCGTTTAATAACCGCGATAACCGCGGAAATCCCAGCGCGCGTGCACGTTACCAGTCGGCGCGGAGCTTTAATCATCGTTTTAACGGAGCTTTTGCCGTGCATTTATTGGCGGACGTTTGGGAGCCCCGCGTGCGGGGATTAGCGAGAGGGTGCGCCCTCGCTCGCGCATATCCGAATCTCTCCACGTTTTCTTCTTTTTCGCAGCCGCCTATTTACGCGGCCTAGTTTACCCGACCGCTATATATTATACCGGCATTCACGTGCCGGCCGATCGAGAAAATTGCGATTATCTCCAGGCGGTTCAAGCTTTTCCTCGCGATACGAAGTCGCGATAGCACGCTCGCACAGAAACAGGGGTAGCGCGGCGGCGATTCTCTCTCTTTTTCTTTCTTTTTTTCCTCCTCTTTAAAACGAATGCAACAGAAATTTTTATAATATAATTCCGATTTATAATGTAACTATCAGAGTATCGTGCACATTTATTTTTATATAAACTAATGTAGCCGCAGCGCGCATTGTGAATTAAAACAATGTGAGAGCTTGTCCCTATCGCGTCTTATGTAAACTCAGGCATAATATTATAGGGAAATGCAGTAGGTCGTGATAATATATCGCGCTCGCGCGATCCTACCCGCATTTTTTTCCCCCGACGTTTTTCCGACATTTGCCGCGCGCACATTTTTCTGCCAATTCGGGTAACAATGACGCGAGAAAAATGTAGCGCGCTTAACCGTGACGTATAGAGAAGTTCGATATACCGGTTCTATCAAGATAAATGCGCGGTTGCTCCTTGCCACTATATTTCGTATATCTCAAATATATCATTTTTCCACGTCGTGACTAGCGTAATACACGGCGATGCGGCGTCGATCGTGTATGAAAATCTTAGAATAAATAGAGCTACAGAGAAAAATGGTTTTTGAGGATCTAAAAATTTAACTGTATAGATACAAATTTGAAAATATTTTGTTTGGTCCGTCAAAATAATTATGGACACGGAGAGAATTTTCTTTTAAAATTTATCCTGAAAATATGGTAGTTGTGTTACAATACGATATTTTAAAGATTTTTACGATGCACCTCAGTAAAATTGATCAAACTTATTTTATACCATATTGTAATTTTATTAATGAATGAGAGAGATTTACATTAAAATTCTTCGAAATACAATGTTGTCCCACGACTATCATATTTTCAAGGTAAATTCTAAGAAAAAATTCTTTCCGTGTAGGATCGCTCATACTAGTTGCCAAATTTTATTCGGCATTGTCATCAACGTAACAAGTTTTTAGATATTTCAGCAAAACTCTCCTTTCTCTGTTGGATCCACTCATTTATATTCCGCCGAAATTGCTAAACCGGTGGATTTATTGGACCCACTCAATTATTTTTCACGATATATCTGCAAATTTAAATTATTGGTATTAAAGTAAATTTGATATTTATTCTCTTATATGAGTTATGTCATCTTGGTTCCTTAAAATTAATTGTAGTGTCTTTTATTTAACATAAATTAAATGAGTCTTACTCGTGACTGCGGTGTTACAAATTTTGAACTATACACGTTAGCTCTTTGAAGGGCGCTAATATTAAAATATTATATTTTATTATACTTTATACTTTATATTCAGTTATAATCTACATGAGAATACAGTGCTTGTTTCGCGACTGTCTTGCAGCTGCTCTTATCTGGCTTCATCTCGCAGTGCGCGACGCTGAAAACTTAACGATCGTGCTTTCGGAAAGTCGCATGCCGGAGCTCGAGCTCGAGAAACACATTATTCCGAACAACGATTTTGTCGCTCGCGCGTTTTTCGTGTTAGAAGCCGGGACGCGGTGGCCACGCGCCAAGATCGCGACGGCATGTCGTATCGAAATGGAGCTCGATGCCAAAAACGATCGTTTGTCCGCGAATATGGGAGACGAACGCGCAATTAATTCGCCAACAATTTCGCCAGAATCATCATTTTTGTCACGGTACGCAGCGTGTGTTCCGCGTAATAGTCACGAGGATAGAATAAAACATTGTTTGTGAAGATCAGTAGTCGTTGCGTGCTTCTTGCGAATGGGTTACGAGATACAAGAGCGCACGAAATGTTATACTATTTGATTTATATTTAACGCATTTGTTTTTATAACAAAATTGATAGAATATAATTATCGCAGAACTAATTAGGATTAATTAAACGGAAAGGACGGTTTTGCTGATGTAACTAAAAATTTGACGAGCTACAAATCTAAAAATAGTTTTGTTGAGTCATCAAAAGACTGAACTAGTATACATTTTTGGAATATAAAGTGAGATTTGTATATTCGATATTTGACAAAAACGAGAAAGAGAATTCTAATGTGTAGTTTAGTGCTGCAGGAATAAAAAAGACCTAAAATAATTACGTGGGACGTTACGTAAGAGTTCCGTTCGATAATCAGCTTAAATTTATTTCAGATTGTTTTTAATCGTTCTCAGTCGACCTCAATCGAATTTCTACATTATTTACAATTAATCTTTCCTTAATTATCTGTCGGCTTAATCGTTGTCGATTAGTCTTTTTTAGACATCTCGCAATGGTGTCTCTCTTTATTTCTCTCTGGTTTAATCATCTCGAGACATGAGAGCTTTGCCGAGTCCGTCCTTGGCGCGATATTACAGACATCCGTTTCGCAATACTTCAATCTGTAACCCCAAAGAGGCTTCTACGTCCACCAACCGGTCGTTCATTTGCGAGATCTCGTGAAGGTCCTCGAGTGGCAACCTCAAGCGACGATCCGTTTAGCTTCAGCGCCGACAAATCTTTATCCTGTCGAGATTACTCCGCTTTATTGGTAGGAAATCCTTTTCGCGCGTCACCTCGAACAGTGATTCGACGATCCTCCCTCTATGTAGTAAATACAGCTCGCTTTACGTCAATTTCCGAGGTCACATTTAACAGGGAACATGTCAGAAACAGAGAGCGATGGCTCGAGGAGAGCTTCTTACGAAATCCTTCTGAGAGTTAAAGTTTTACAATTTTCATGTGAAACAGCGTCATACGAGTTAGTTATAAAAGTAATCAGAACTTGGAATCGAAAAAGAGGAAAGAGGAAACATGGGTTTCACCCGTCCTACAGAATTGGTCCGTTTTGCTCCAGAAATAAGACAACAATTACCCACTCCGGATCTTATCTAGCGGAGCGGTTTATCGCTCGCGCGAGACGAGCGGGCTGTCGGTTGCACTCGTGGATACGACGAGAGAAAAGCTGCGAGGAGGAGAGACGGCGCAGCGAAATTTCAAGAACACAGAACAGGCGTGGACGACCAGGCGGCTTCCCTCGACGTATTCTGGAGAGTATCCATTATTCCGCGAGGACTGCGACGTGAAATAGAGCCCCCAGTGTGTCCGCCATTCTTTTTACGACTCGTTCGCGGAATGGTCCATGGCCGACTATGCGTGTTTCGCCTCGCTTGTCAGCTAGGATCTTTCCTCACGACTCCCTCGCGTCGCCTTTATTTCCTCCTCCATCTCGACCTTTTCGCCGAACGTCGGATTAGACGACTCTGATCTCTATGTTGTCATCTCGTTTCATAAAGAAGCCATGAAAGTAGTCCTCGATACACTCGTACGATCATTATAAACGCTGTAAAGTTCTGATGGAAATTACGAAATACCTTCATCGCGTGGACAAAGTACTAATCCGTTTTAATCTTGGATATCTTTTTTCTTTTCTGCTTTCAGGTAAAATAAAATACTCCGAGAGGGTGTACGACGCGTGCATGGATGCCTTCGACTGTTTGCCGCTCGCCGCCCTTATGAACCAACAGTTCCTCTGCGTACACGGCGGTCTATCGCCGGAAATTCACAATTTAGAAGACATTCGCAAAGTAAGTAAATTCTTTACGTGCTCCAGTTGCGTGCCTCGCGTCACAATGTTGAATAACTCTGTATTAAAATGTGCATAAATGAATCTGTGACGCCAAGTTTTGTTGGTACAAAATTAACATTTGACATAAAGAATAAGTGCCTTCTAGATAAAAGAAGTCTTTGTGAAGCTTCTCATTGATATTTATTTTGTCTCTGGTATCTTCGATCGAATCTTTTTCTTGGTAATTTTTGCAGGAAACCTTGGAAAAGAGTATCTTTTGACTATTGTTCAATTTAAATTCGAGATTGCTTTTTGGAAAGAATAATTTTGCTAAAATATCTAAAACTGTAGTTTGATATATAATTTAGCTAGATACAAAATAATTTTCTTAGACTATCAAAATAATTATGTAAGACACTCAAGCTGATTGTTAGAATGTAAAGAAAGACTTTTGCATTGCTCATCATATTTGAGCATTCTACATTTTGATCGTCCAAAATTATTGTTAGATTTGAACACTAAAAAAAGTTTGATAATAACTATTAAATATTGAGTAAAATAATGCCAATCAAATGTTCGATTAATTTAATTTAAAATAATTAGTTTTTCTTTTGTATATACATATATCTAAATATTTTTAGTAGGTAAGTTTTATCAAACACAATAATATAATCAACCGTTTGGTAATACTTATTAAATATTTAAAAAATAAAATTATTTTTAGTCTCATATTAACCAAATGTTTGATTGACATTATTTCACTCAACATGTAGTAGCTATTACCAGATTCTTTTTTCAGTATATCTACACAGAAAGAACGGTTTTGCTGAAATATCTAAAAATGTAACTACACTGAAAGAAAATATTGGCTGCTGTAGCAAATTAGATGATAAAATACAACATAGCATTTTTAATTTGCTGCAACAGCCAATCTTTTGTTGCAGCCAATTTTTGATTGCGTTAGCCTATTCGCAATGTCAGTGTAGGATTTCGATAAGTTAACGCCAACAAAAAATTGTCTGCCGCAACCAATTAAAAATGATGCTATGCCATATTCAGCCAATTTTTTCTTTCAATGTCTGAAATTAATTTTATTAAATCATCACAATAATAATTATGTAGATAGTAATTATTACATTAATAAGTGTTGATAATGCTAGAAAAGTTTTGATCTCGATTTTGATATTCTAGCAACCAATTTAAGCGTCCTATATAATTATTTTGATCCAAAAAAATTATTTTGAAGTCTATATTCAGCTAAATTTTTACATAAAGTACTTCAGCAAAACCTTCTTTTCATATAGCTAAATTTTTAGATACTTCATCAAAATTGTTCTTTCCGTGTACTATTCAACTTTTCGTGCACTTTCGTCGGGAAGTCAAGTCACGAGAAACCATCTAGGACGGCGTCGCATCTTAATGAGTCGTGATCGTTGTTAATTGCGTTACTCCCCGCCCCACGTCTCCGAATGAATTAGCCTTGCTATTATTTCTCACAATCGTGCCGAGGCCAATCGTTCGATCGGCTGAGAGAGTCCAATGACACTCCGCCGCGCCGGAAGCGAACCAGGGAGAGCACCGACGTGCTGCCACCTGCTCTATCGATCCCATCCACCTACGCCTTTTACCTTCCTGCATTGCGTGCGGCACACACGGGCGTGCGTGCGGTGCACGCGTCCCGATCACGCGCGTCCGCGGGCTAGGCTCGCCCACCGGCTACAGCTTCTTCGTCTTGCCGTTCTAACTGCGATACCGTATTTGCCTGCGTCTCTCGATTCGGCAGATAAACGATAAAATGAGTATCCGCTCGTATGCAGAATAGGACACGTTAAATATAGCCGAGGTGTAAACGCGCGCGATCGTCTGGACGCGTTTCGAGGCGAAGGCGGTTCTAATTATTCTCTTACGCTTTCGAGACGCTCCCTTTTTGTTATAATGCCTTATCGTTGTAATTATACGAAAAAAACGATTTTACTGAAACATCTAAAATTTTACTGAATACAAATCTGATAATAATTTTGTTGGGTCATCAGCATAATTTTGTTGGAAACTCAAACTAGTTGTTGGAATATAAAAATTTTTTAAACCATTGTTCGTCATTTTATTAGTTTCCAACATTATTAAAATTATGGAAATTAAAAAATTACAAGCTACTTCAAAAAAATTTTATATTAGTTTCCAACATAATTATTATGAATGTCAAAACTTTTTATAGGATGCTCACCATGTTTGAATATACAGGGTGATCATTAGGATTGTATCTAAACTAAACTTATTACTTCACAACAAGTAGGCTGAACAAAACAAATGAAACGTCATTTTGTGTATTCATGCTAATACTCATAAATTAGCTTGTATAACGGCTCAAATGAAATTGACAAATTTCCTCTACAAAATGACGTTTCATTTGTTTTGTTCGGTTCCACTTGTTGCGAAATAATCATTTAGTTGAGACACGATCCTATGGCCACCCTGTATAATTATTTTGATGATTTAACAAAATTATTTTCAGATCTATATCTTAACTAAATTCTTAGATATTTCAGAATATTATTACACAATAGATATTCCAAAATCTTTTCCATGTGCTTGTCGTCGCGTCAAAGAAGAAGAAATAGATTCGCCTCTTTTGGAATTTCTTGAACTCTCGTATCGGACCCCAAGATTTATCCAACTTAACGCGCGTTTCGTCCGTTCCGATAGCTTTCTCGCGTCTTTTCCACGTTCCCGCGGTATCGCGTTTCACGTTAGCAATCGAAATTTCCGAGTGACACCTCGTATTTCCCGGCTATCGACATCCCGGCTTCACGCCCGACACGCCTGAGAGACGACGGGAAGCGCGATGGAGCGGTTTCGTATTTCTCCGCGCTCGTAAAAATTCGCGCTATTTTCATATTATCGAAGCCCGTGGATCTCCCTCGTTCGTCGGGCAGCATCCCGTTGAATTTTCTCGACGCGCAGCTGCCTGAGATCTCATCTCGTTTCGGGACGTCCCGCTTTTATATTCGCAATACTATCCTCGTAAAGATACACGTCCGAGAGATAGTGGTCGAATTTGAATGAAAGAGAACGAAACGGGGGGGGGGGAGATACGGATGAGAGAACGCAGCGATCTCGTTTAACGATCGACGGATCCTGCGATTCTCGGCATCTCCGGCATAATTAAGGGAAACGACGTGCTATTACAATGATGCGACGCTGTAAAGCGACGTGGATTAATTTCTCCGACTACTCTGGTAATTTGGAACGTGACATGTTCGGAATAAAAATTCTCGGTAGAAAACGCTGATTCGTTGCTCGACGGAATTGAGAGCGAAATATAATGTGGAATATTGCGTGGATGTGAACCGATTGCGAAATTGCGTAAGGAAAGATCTGTCCTCCACACTGAAAGAGCAATTTTGTTGAAGAATCTAAAGTTTAGCTAGATATAGATCTGAAAAATATTTTGTTGGACATCAAAACAATTAGGTAGGACGACAATTGATTGCTAGAATATCAAAACATTTTGCAGTATTGCTAAGATTCCTGAAAAATTGAAATTTTGAATGTTCAACAAAATTATTGATCGGTATTTAGCCAAATTTTTAGATTCTTCAGTGAAATTGCTCTTTCAATGCAGCGTTTCATTTAGGATAATTCAGTTTCTTTCACGGTAAACTTCAAAATGAATCATGAAATTATTATCGTTCAATCGCTAATGTTTAACGATCGAGAGCATTTCGAAAGATGATAATAAATATCGCTTGTCGCTATCCAGCAAAGTTTTCCCGAGAATTTATTATCGGTATATAAGTTCTAATCGCGGTTTCACGATTTCTGCCCGTCACCGGGCAGAATTTCGAGTGTCGCGTTTTATTTCCGAGCGGTTTTATCGCTGGCGTTTCAGGACGTTTGATATGGAAATCGACACTCCCGGTTGGACGATATCGTGAGTCCTTTGCGAGTAAGAGCCCGTAAAACGTGACCGTACGCGCCCTGTACCTTGGAAATATTTCTCGGCAGCACTTTAACCGCCTTTACGCTTCTTGCTATCCGGATAATCGTTCTGAATCTTTCATCGCGACTCGCACGCATGAAACGTCACCCCATGGGCGAGAGAGGTTCGAAAAGCTCATGCCTCGAGAAACTCACATTGCAATGTATGTGTGAGGATATCAAGATATTCGTCCGTTAACCTTCCTCGAGAAGTAAATAAATCATGAGAGTATTTTTAGAGTAGCACGCATTTAGTTTCGAAGACGTTAAATCGTGACGTATGTTTGCATAAACATTGTGAGTTGTTAAAATTCTACAAGATCACGAAACGTGTGTGGCCTTGTCAACAGTATTTCATTTAACCTTTAAGTAGGTAGACAGCTAACTAAACACACACAGCTGATAGAGCTTAGAACACCTAAAAAGAATTTTAATTTTATTCTTGTCAAATTTTTATTATTTCAATTTTTTTTTAATTATTTTTCTAATCATTTTTTATAAACAGCCGCTATTTCTACCAATGTATTATTAATTTTGACTAAAACAAAGAGTTAATAATTATAAATATAATCACCTAGCACGTAATATGTAATAACAAGTAAACTCAATAGAATTAAACAATTTAATTCAAGAAAATATATTAAATTTGATTCAAATTTAATTTATTATTCATTAAATGCATACGTGAATACGATGTTTACTTTGAAACTAACTACAGAAATGAATTGAACCACATTTTGAATTCATGGAAGTTAAGAATAACAAAATTATTCAACTCACGGAATTGGGTTACCATTACTTCTTTGGAATCTAACAATGTATAGTCAGTTAAACTTACACATTAGTTATACCCTTATGAGATAGACCATAGAGGAATATAAAAATAATGAACTTACTAAAACTTCTGAGCAATACTTTTTATTTCCCTTTTCCAAAACAATATTTTTTAAAGAAAAGTATGCTTGTGCACGAAAGAAGGATTTTACTGAAGTATCTAAAGTTAGCTAAATACTAAGCTGAAAATAATTTTATTGGACCATC